GGGTAACACTGATCCGATTTTTAGCTAAAAACAGAAAGCTACCATTGTAAATAGATAGACAGTTCGAGGAAATGACATCAAGAAAATTGCATAGTTCAAAGTCGCAAAATGTATTATTTTTCGTGTATTTTATATAGCTCACTTTAAATAGTTCAAAGTAAAATAAAATCTCTTTTTAAAATGCACGAAATGGCGTTTCATAGCTCTGAATTTTAAAATTTTCCCGGGAAAGCATGGCCCTAGACCCCTATAGATTGTTCGCGCCTTCGGCGCTGCTTAATCTCCCTCTCCCCTCCCTCTTTGTAAACCCTGACTACGCCACTGGTGATTTGGCGTTGTAAGCAGAGCGAGGACAATGTCTAAATTATTCATATATCAGTCATTATTCAATTATTTTCAATGATTCATTGTATTGGTAGCCATTGCCGTCGCGTTACCATCCTAAATCGTAAGGTCTCTATTATAAAATAATAGAGTGGGCCCAGATGGCGGGAAAAATGGAGAGAAAATTTGAAGCCTCCAAATGGGGCAACTAACTCTCCTGATTGGCTAAAATGTCTTTGCCCTGATGCAAATTCTCATTGCCGGATATAAAGCCGCAATGTTTAGGAGGAGCGGAAAATTACGAGAACAATACAACTTTGAAAGGATCGATTTTTTCAAATTTTTAAATTGCATACTTTGTGCACGGACTAAAAGCTCAAAATTAAAAAGAATAGCTGCAATTTAATACAAAACAAGCTTTGGAAGAGTAGGATTTTTTAAAGTGTTTCTCTTTTTGATGTTAAAGAGCGTTATTTTCTTCTTCACTTTCGTATCATTATCCATTATATAGAACGGAAATTCCGAAATCTTTCCGCCAGAAATAGAGGTAAAACAGTCAAGACTGTTGGTACAATACCAGGAATGAATAGGCTACTTGACCAGGCCAAGTGGTGAAAAACAAATTTTTGTGACTTTACATAGGGGTATAACTCACATTTACCCAGATTACCAAGCTTCAATTTGTCTCCTAGGGGAAGGGGTGGGGGGTGGAGGTGTGCAAGGAACTGAAAATCATTGCTAACTGTATCCCATTTCTAGTAGGCCCTATCCATTATCTTTGGTGAGCGAAAACATTGCATGACGTGCATTGAAAATACTAAATGACAAAAAATATCCTCACCTTCACAGTTATATCCATTCGTTGTAAAGCCCACTTTGCATTTGCATTCAAACGATCCAACAGTGTTCACACAATCGGCATTCTGGTCACATGACACATCTTGGATGATGCACTCGTTAATATCTATGAAATAAAAATAAGATATTTTTGACATCAGACTGCATTTTAGATTTAGAATCGTATATTTAAAACCCTGCATAAAAATAGCTGACCATGTTTATCCACAATTATGTATTTTGTTTGTGGTGTTACTCTGAGTGTATATCCACACCGGGCGAGCTTGAAAAAATATGCCGGGCCACGGTGGGAATCGAACCTACGACCTTCGGATTACTAGCCCAATACTCTGCCAACTGAGCTACGCGGTCAGGACGGTTCGAGTAAATGATATTTCCGAACAGAATCTAGTTCCTTCGATACCAATGTAATCTAGTAATATGATTTTTTTCTGTGTTGGTGTTGTGTACTCAGGTGAATAATATGATGTTTGTGATGTTACTCTGAGTGTATATCCACACCGGGCGAGCTTGAAAAATATGCCCAGCCACGGTGAGAATCGAACCTACGACCTTTGGAATACTATCCCAATGCTCTGCCAACTGAGCTACGCGGTCAGGACGGTTCGAGTAAATAATATTTCGGAACAGAATCTAGTTCCTTCGATACCAGTGTAAAGAGTTGTTACAGTTTGCGTCGAAGAAAAGTGTTGGTAGAAACGAAGAAAAGTGTAGTAAAATGTTGGTACAAAAAGTGTTGTAAAGTGTTGGTACAGTTTGCGTCGAAGGAACTAGATTCTGTTCCGAAATATCACTTACTCGAAACGTCCTGACCGCGTAGCTCAGTTGGCAGAGCATTGGGCTAGTAATCCAAAGGTCGTAACTTCGATTCCCACCGTGGCCGGGCATATATTTCAAACTCGGCCGGTGTGGATATACACTCAGAGTAACACCACAAACATCATATTCACCGGAGTACACAACACCAACACAGAAAAAATAATTATGTATTTGTAACACAAGAAGATAGAAACAGAACCAACATAGAGCCAAATGTTTCAATACGAAATATTTATACCAACCTTCACAATGAGAGCCATTTCCTTGGTATCCTAGTTTGCAAGTACAGTTAAATGATCCCCTAAAGTTGGTACAGTTTGCGTCTGAATGACAATTGTGGTCTGACGAGCATTCATCAATATCTGCATGTAGGATTAAATAGTAAGAGAAGTTAATTATACTTTAATTCAGGGATGCACACTATTTTTATTTGTTCAGCAGCATTACAGGAAGGAGAACATTTTCCAATGGTAATTTGGCGATGTTTTGAAACTGAATGTTGCATTAGGAAAGACACTTTCTCACTTTGTTGTGCAGTATCATAAAAAATCCATATTTTACAAGTAAAAGTGAAACAATTCTACATTCTCAAGTCCCGCCTCATCCTCCGAGATTTGTTTATGTGATGAATTGTAAAGTTATTGAGAACCGTACCAGGTTTTTAATGCATGGGAATTAATGAGAACCAGGTTTTTAGTAAGATCGTCTATAATATTATAGGTTCACCGAATTCGTCTTCTAAATTTTCAGTTTATTGGTCTTCCAAAAGTATTGTGCGTGTTTTCGATCTCTCAGAGAAATCTATTGCACTTGTTGAACACGTTGTTGCACAGAATGGTTAGCCAGTAAAATCAAACATTGTTAATTACGCAATACAAACCTTCACAATAAGAACCATTTCCTTGATATCCATTTTTACAAGTACAGTGAAGCGATCCTTTAATATTCGTACAGTTGGCGTCTGAATGGCAAATTTGTTGTCCTGACAAACACTCATTTATATCTGTATAGTAAAACATAAAAGAAACCAACAACGTTTAAATGAAATATTTATTATTAAGCAAAATGTTAATGCTACATTAAACTAGTCCAGGGTGATAGGTAGGACGGACGTATTTTGTCGTTGCAGGTAGCAGGATTAGTTATTAACTTCAGTAACGTATTAATATGTAAAGGGACATATTATGGAAATAAGAATACAATAACATGACGTTGTGGCAGCTACTGGAACAACCATATAACTTATGTAATCCTAAAAGCGCGGTCGCCGCGTTCCGGGGGTAAGCCCGGGGCGAGGGTACTAACTATAATTCCGCCCGGTTATTTACACCCGCGGGAAAGGGACGCATTAGCAAAGTCTAAAGTTCAACAATAATCGCAGGCGCCGCATGGCTATGGTTCACCGTTCATGGTTGGTCATCCTCATTGATCTTAAAATATAGGCCAAAAACCATGACCAGCCGACAATTTAAAAAAATAAAGTAAAAAACAAATTCCGAAAAGACTAGACATCTTGAGAATTCAATATATATTTCAAGACAAGACGTAGGTTGAGACCGTAAATTTTCGACTTTATTTCAAAGTCATCTTCGAACAGAATAAAATACAATACATATATATATATATATATATATATATATATATATATATATATATATATATATATATATATATATATATATATATATACAGCTACAATCTTGGAAAAAATATTTGTAGACTTTTCGAAAACTACACCCAAATTTGAAAACATATGATGAAAATGTGAGCATTTTTCAATTAAAGCAACTATTTACTTTAAATTACCCCCTCCCCCCCCCCGAAACAATGTTGGTTCAGGTAAAGTGGATTTGCAACACATGTCACCTAAATACCAACATTGTATAAGGGGGGAGGGGGACAAAGTTTGAAAATTTAAGAAGTCTACTAATTTTTTTCCAGGATTGTCTCTGAATTAAGCCAAACCCTTAACCTTTAAGGGATAGAAATTAAATTTTTTGGACATATAAAATTTTCTATTCTATTATGTTGTTATGAAAGTCAAGTGGCACATATGTCAGTAGAAACAGACTCCCAAAACAATTTTCGGGGGGGGGGAGACTTCCCATGGTAGGATTATAGGAAATAGGCGTATATTACCGCCCACAGCTCGGGTTATCCTTGCAATTTCGTTGAATTTGGACACGATTATAAATGTTTTTGCACTTTTGAATGTATAGTGAATTTAATATTAGCTTCAACTTAGAATCCTGTAGGTTTAACACCCTTTTCAAAATGTTTCACTTAGTATTTGCTCCGGAAAATAAGCGAATTTAATTTCATGAAATACATATAACTGCTTGATTCCTTGAGTTCTTTTGGATTAAATAAACTAAGAGATATTTCTGCTCGTTTATCGGTTGGTTGTGTCTTAAATTATGTTAGGATTAATTTATTTATAAGGTTTTCAGTTCTCTATGCACATTTTCAACGATTATAGGTTTGAACAAATCTCAATCTTCACATGTTACATCATGTTACATCATGTTACACTACATGTTACACTAAAATTACTATACTTTACTATAGTTCTTGACATGTTACTACATGTTACACCTATATTTTTAAAAGGAACTATAGATATTTTTAAAGGTAGGTGTAACATGTTGTAACATGTGAGGATATATAATAAAATATAGAACTT